TCTTTGAAAACGTTTACCTATTTTTTGTAATTTTTGAACTGCTTTAATCTCGGCTTTGAATCCCTGATTCGTTATTTTTCTTTTATTTTTTTATTCATTCATACATTTCGATTTTAAGTACTTTGGAGTTTTATTTTGGGCTTTGAGAAGTTTTCTTTTTTTTTTTTTTTTTAATAAGTTTCTTTCTGGGATTTCCGATCGCAATTTTGGATTGTCAGTGAATTATTTGAGTTCCTGAATTTTCCTGAAGTTTCAGCCATTTTTATTGGCATATATAAAGCTATTTTTTTTATCTTTAACTTACCCCTGGTATTTTTTTTGGAGCTTTTGAATTTTGATCTATTCATTCGAATTTTTATTTTTTTTGTAATCCTTATATTTTGAATTTTCCGTTTTTTTTGTTTCTTCTTCTTCTCTTGCGAGTATTTCAATTGGGAGTTTTTTTTGTTTATTAAAATTTTGTTTATCGTTCGGAATTTAGTCATTTTTTGAATCGAACCGAAGCGCTCTGGGCAGAAGTTCTTTTGTGTGCAAGGTTGAGTGAATGGAAGAAAGAGAGGGAGAGGATATAGTGACTCCAGGATTAGGGCTGATCAATTCAAATCGTCGGGTTACGCGTAGTGTGGCACGGGCATTGGAAAACCAAGTAGTAGGATCACTGTTTACGCAGATTGATACAGGTATACCATATCCAGTCGATTTTGTGCCTACGGACTACCTGAACCGGTGCACAGCCCGTATATTTGGGACAACAAGACAAGAAGTGCCACGGCAACCAACGATCCGAGTCACTCACGAAGTATCACGCAACATTACAGATAACAGTCTCACGTTCTCACAAAAAATTGAAGAGTTATTGCAAATGTCAGAGTCAGAGCAACAATCGGGGGGAAGTGTGCAGCCAGGTGGTCAAGAACCGGGGGGTTCGAAGTCCGCCACATGCGAGATAACGTAGGTACTCTCACAAATAGGGTAGCAGAAGTGGAGACGAGGCGGAACATCCACTGGTGATCAAAGGACAGGTCACTCTCGATCACAAAATGAGTCCAGGGCATGGAAAAAAATCGACTTGGATAAATGGAATGTTAAATTTGATGGTACGAGCAAGAGTATAACCGTTGAGAGTTTCATATTTCGCATAGAAAAGATGTNTGGCATGTTAAATTTGATGGTACGAGCAAGAGTATAACCGTTGAGAGTTTCATCTTTCGCATAGAAAAGATGAGAGAGCAGTATGACATCTCCTACTATCAGTTGTTTACTGATTTTCATTGTTTAGTCACTGGCAGCGCCCTGAAGTGGTATTGGCAGGTGCTCGAGGACCACGCTGATAAACCTGACTTTGGTTACTTTGAGCTAAAAGCCGAACGGCTAAACCACTTCCGGGCTGCTGAATCGGACTATACGGGAGATAATGGAGAGGAAACAGCTGCCCCAAGAAAGTTTTTTACAGTGAGGTGCATAACCTGACCTTTCGCCTCAGGAAAAGGATTCCTGAACAGGAGCTTGTCAGTATCATCCGAAGTAACCTTAAGCCTTACCTGGCCAATTTGACTTTCGCCTCACGCATGAGCACGCTAGCTGAGTTGAAGTCAGAATGTAAACGAGCTGAAAGGGTAATCAAGGAGAATAGGGGTAGGCAAAAGCCTGTAAGTGAGTTAGATTTCTTTGAAGCAGACGCGTTAGTAGAAAAAAGTGTGGAAGCGTTAGGTAGGGCTCAGTGCAATAGAAAACCGCAAACAGTTATAGTCAGTAATAAGTCGTCTTTGTCCCATAGTCCCGATGTTAGTGCTGTTGTCAAGAAGGCCTCAATTAGTTCGTTCTGTCCGTCCCCTTTCCACCTAATGTTATGTTTTTCGTGTGGTATGCCTGTCGATCACTTTATTAAGAACCCAGTAGAGTGTCAAAAACCTGGTAAATGTAAGTCTTCGTTCCACGATATGGTTTGTTTCGCATGTGGTGATAGCTCGTCATTTTGTGTATTTAAGCCAAGTCAGGGAAACCAGAAGCTGGCGGAGCTATCCGTGGACTCTTGCCAGGTGAAGGAGAACCCGGAAACAAAGCAGTGAGCATTTTAAGGAGGGAAGTAGATTGCAATGAAAAAGAACAGAAAGAGACGTTGGGAGATAAAGTAGTTAAAAGCTTGCACCAGAGAAAGCTAGATTATGAGGTGGCGCGTAGACGCATATTTTGTGAAGATATGCTCCAGAGGAAGAAAAGTAGGAACTATAGAAAGATTGAGAAAATGAGGGCAAAAAAGAAGAACCTCAACAGGATATGTAGAAAGATTATTTCGACCATTGTTACTCTGAAAGGAGATAACAGATTTTTCGCTAAAACTAAAATTGGGAACCAGGAGGTACTGGCGTTGTTAGACTCAGGAGCAGGTGCAAGCTGCCTAGAAAAGAATGCTGACAAACTCCTGGAAGACAAAGAAAACATGATACTTAAAATTAGGGGGCAGAATATCCGAACCGCGAACGATGGAGAAACTGCGGTAGTAGGTGTCATCACTCTTCCTGTCTTGTGGGATAACGTAACGCGCGACTTAGAGTTCTTAATCGTGCCTGGCTTACAACAAGAGGTTTACTTAGGTATAGATTTTTGGAAAGCGTTTAATATGACTGTTGTGAGTAGAGGGGTGCATGCGAGTGTGAATGGTGCTGGTGTTTCAGAGCTCGTGCCCGCCGAGGGAGACCTAACTTTGGATACAGTGAAGCATGACTTGACTCACGACCAAGCTGTGGCATTAGAGGAAGTTAAGGCGCAATTCCCGTCATTTGCTGTGTTAGGACTAGGCACGACAGATAAAGCATGTGATAGAAGTGACCAACGAGAATCTTCCAGTCAAGCAAAGGCACTATCCCATATCTCCAGCGATTCAGAAACTTATTTATAGTGAATTGGACCGAATGCTGGAAATGGCAGTGATAGAAGAGTGCAACAGCAGTTGGAACTCACCAGTTTCACTAGTTATTAAAGGGACTAAAAACCGCCTTTGTCTGGACGCTCGTAAGGTAAACGAGAGGACAATTAAAGACGCCTATCCACTGCCCCATATAGATGGTATCCTTAGCAGACTGCAAACTACTAGATTCATATCCGCGATCGACTTGAAAGATGCATTCTGGCAGATACCTTTGGAGAAAAAGTCCAGGGAAAAAACGGCATTCACTGTACCAGGCCGACCGTTGTATCACTATACTGTCATGCCATTTGGGTTGTGCAATGCGGCTCAACGTATGTGTAGGCTTATGGACAAGGCCATACCCGCTAATCTTCGTGAATCTGTGTTCGTTTATTTAGATGACTTACTTGTTTGTTCGGAAAATTTTGTGTCCCATTTGTCCTTGTTAGAAAAAGTTGCTAAATGTCTCCGTGAAGCCAAGCTTACGATAAACGTTGAAAAGAGCAAATTTTGTTTTAAGGAGGTGAGATATCTTGGGTATGTCGTAGGCAACGGTTGCATCCGTACCGACGCCAGCAAGGTTGCAGCCATGAAAGATTTCCCGGAGCCACGAACCCCGAAGCAGCTCAGGCGGTTCCTAGGGATGACAGGGTGGTACCGAAGATTCATACAGGATTACGCGACAATCGCAGCTCCGCTGCACGACTGCCTCAAAAAGGACAAAATAAACAAGTTTGCTATGACGGAAGAAGCCCGAAAGGCATTTAACCTGTTAAAGGAGAGCCTGATCTCGGCGCCTGTGTTGACTCACCCCGACTTCAACAGACACTTTTATATACAATGTGACGCTTCGACGGACGGTGTGGGCGGGGTTTTATTCCAACTGGACGACGACGGTAATGAGCGGCCAATAGCCTACATATCGGCAAAGCTCAACAAAGCGCAACGCAATTACAGCATCACAGAGTTAGAGTGCTACGCAGCTGTACTGAGCATTAAACGATTTAGGCCATATGTTGAGGGACTCCCTTTCACGGTAATAACTGACCACGCGAGCCTAAAATGGTTGATGAACCAAAAGGATTTATCAGGCAGGCTCGCGAGGTGGAGCCTAAAGCTCCAGGCGTATAATTTTGAAATCCAACATCGGAAGGGGTCCCAAAACATCGTGCGAGACGCGTTGTCGCGAATGAATATGGAAGAGGTGGCAATAAATAACCGGATGTTGGACGTATGCATGGATTCACCATTTTTCAAAACTCATGAATATGAAGAGCTCAAAAGGACAGTGACCAATAATCAGGACAGACTACCCGAACTGTGCTTATCCGACGGTTATGTATACAAACGGACGCAATTTAATAGTGGGGATGACCTTCAGCAGGACCACGCCTGGAAGCTCTGGGTGCCGACAGAGCTGCGCCGAGGGCTTGTGGAATCCTCTCATGATTCACCGTCTGTAGGTCACGGTGGAATTCACAAAACATTAGCTCGTATCAGAGAAAAATATTATTGGCCCGGCATGGTGACCGATGTCCAGAATTACGTGAAGAAATGTGAAACTTGTAAAGTCAACAAAACACAAAATGCATTCCATAAGCCTTTTATGGGGAAACAGCATATAACTGAAAGGCCTTTTCAATGTTTATTCATTGACTTCATGGGTCCCTACCCCCGTACGTGTAGTGGAAATGTCTATGTGTTTGTGTGTTTAGATCACTTCTCGAAATTTGTATTTTTAAAACCTTTGAGAAAAGCCACTACAGCAGAAGTTATTAAGTTTTTAGAAGGTGAAGTTTTCCATATCTTTGGCGTGCCCGAATATGTCCACTCAGACAACGGGAGGCAATTCGTGTCAGAACTATTTAGCCAATTCTTAGCAAATTACGGCACTCAACATGTTCGGACAGCATTTTATGCGCCCCAGGCCAATGCCGCTGAAAGAGTAAATCGCTCCGTACTACAAATTGTTAGGTCATATATTAAGGATAATCAAAAGAATTGGGAAAGGCATATCAGCGATGCAGCCTTTGCTCTACGCAGCGCGGTGCATTCTGCAATCAACAACTCCCCGTACCAAGCAGTCTTCGGTATGCCTATGATACAGCATGCTGCATCATACGAGTTGTACCGAAGACTGGGCACTGTAAAGGATGCAGACTGCGAAGTAGAAGTACTAGCAGATAAGGCGCAGCTGACGCGAAACAAAATAATGAAAGAGCTGAAGTTGGCTCATGAACGAAGCAAGAAGACCTATAATACCAGAAGTCGAGAAGTGAAGTTTCAAATTGGACAAGTGGTATACCGCCGAAACTTCAAGCAGAGTTCACAAGTCGAAAATTATAACGCTAAACTTGCCCCAAAACAGGTTAAGTGCGTCGTATTAAAAACAATCGGAAATTCGATGTACGAACTTGGTGACACGAGTGGCAAGAAGATCGGGGTATACCACGCTAAAGATATCTTTGTGACATAGTGTTGGTTTCGGTGTTTCATGTTGCAGGTTGCATGTCTAGGGTCGCAGACTACAATTATATATATATTTTTTTTACTACTTGACACTTTTATTCCTATATACAGTAGGTATCGTTCAGTGATTAACTTATTATTTATGAACATAATTCTGTGATACTTACTAATTTATTTGAATTCCTAGTTGATTATTACCTTAGGTATTTATTTTTTTATTTGGTATTATTATTAATTTATTTATGTTGGTGATTATTTATTTATTTACTTTTATGCTTGACTTTATTTTATGTACCTATTCAGTTATTAATTTATTTATTTACCTTATACTTGACTACGAATTTATGATCTCTGTGATATTTTACATTTATTGACCTGTGCTGCAACCTGTGATATAGAATTAAGCATATGTGTGTAGAAGTAGACCAGTGATAATGTCGTTAGTCGAACATGTATGTGCACCTCGTGTACGAAACCGATCGACAGGAAGGTGATAAGAGCCCGGCGTTAGGTCGTGGGTCGAGGCCACACGTCAGGCGGGAACAAGAGCTCGCAATCAGCCGCTTTAGAACCTTTTTACGCACACGCTCCATGGTGCAGGCACCATCGGCGGGTCCGAGCCTGTAGCGCCAGCTGTTTGCCAGATACTTTTGTGCGAATGTGTGCGTGCGTGTATGTTTATGTGATTGCAAAGAAAGCTAACAGAAATGTTAACCAGGTGTAGATGTATATGTGCAATCATACTTGATCAAACATAGTTCGATCAAACTCGAATGCTACTTACATGATGTCCAGAGGAAAATCGGTAAAGTAAAGTCAAGAATGTGTGTGCGAATGAAAGTAGGAAACAGTAACTTTCTTGTTGTTGAGTTTTCCATATACTTAAGTAGGTAATCCCAGTTGAGGCGCTTAGCTAGGCCAAAGGGTATAAAACGACCCAGCCGGGGCAAACGGTTTCAAATGCGAAAGTTACGGTGTTGACGCTGTTTTAACCGAGTGCCAGTTGTGTTCAGTAAACAAATATAAATAAAGAAATAAATTTTTTGAGTAAAATATATATATATATATATATATATATATATATATATAAGTTGGAATATTTGGAAGATTTGGACGGAACAAATTATCAACCACTGGATCTTCACACGCATGTTCATACTAGTTAACACCGGGAAAGTAATAAGCGAGAAGGAGCATCAAGCCACGGAGAGCAGTGCTGTTAGAAGCAGAGGAGAGCGTGACATCGTGGGACAGCATCCACAGCAGGAGCGTAACAGGCCAGCGCAGCGCCTACGCCGCTGATCCGCAGCTGCGCCGTGATCACCTTGAATTCTCGCACTTAATTGCTTATGTTTCGTTTTTTGCACATTTTTTCTTACCTAGTTTAAGCTTCTCATATACGTATGTATGTAGGGAACTCAGGGCTTTTACATACCTTGCTTTATTTTACTTGATTTTTGCATTCCTTCTTAGTTATTCCGCTTTCTTCGGGTTTGCCATCCCCGACCTTTACGGGCATGAATTCAATTCCCGATTTTTTCTAGGTTTTGTTTTTCTTAGCACATGGTTTTTTTATTTGCATAATTGGGTTCAACACAATAGTTTTTTTGAATTTTTTTTGCATTGCATTCAGTATATACTACATATATACCTATGCTCACATGTATGCCATAGCCAGACGGACATGCGAATTTATACTTTTGGTTTCTTTTCCGTTCGCTATTGGCAGTATATGTATGCATAGATATACATATGTACATGCAAGTATTTTTTTTTTTTGACTTTCCCTTAGAATTCGAGTCACAGGGCACTTTCTGAGTTAGGTTCACTGATCGTATTTTTTACACATTTCGTTTCGCCACTTTTAAGTTTGAGTTAAGTCACATTAAATTTTATTTTCTTAAGTTTTAATTTTCAATTTTTCCCCGGTAGTGTTCCGATTCGCTCACCGTCCGGAATCACGAGCGAGTGGTTTTACTTTAAAACCAGTAGGGCAGTAGACACAGACCTCAGCACCGTGGTTGCAGGTGTACATATGTATGTACAGCCGTCGGTATATATAGTAGGCTCTCTAACTCTCCACACAGGTTCTCGACAGCATGCTGGTACCATCATCGCTGGAGGACAAGGTGAGTACATGAATTGTCTCTGAATATAATACTATACATACATGCACATATATATACATATATATATATATAGGCACGCGGGACATAAGTATGCACGTAAATTAAACCCATCTTTATCGGTTTTTCTTTGTTGTACTAATCTTGAACTACCATTGAAGGCAAAGTGGCCTCATTACGGAATTTACATGTACAGAAAGAGCCGAATCGGAAGTTAGAAGTCATTGGTAGTGAATATGAATTTAGATACGTTTAAGTAGTAGGAAACATGTATTAGGGTGAAAAAGAAAAAAAAGAAAAAAAAAGGACAATTATTTTTTTTAGGTAACAGATTAAACCTTTATTTACTTTGGAGGCATTACTTTGGTTCAGAGATTAGGATATTAGTGGAAAAAGTAGGAGCAGTGCTTAGGATTAATAGGCAATAGGAGAAAAAAAAAAACACTGTATTTCTTTTGCTATGAAGTTAATGTATATGTTAGCATTAGGGTGGTAGAAGGGAATAGTTCATAGTGTTAAAGATAGTGGATAAGTTGAGAGTGTGAATAAAGAGTTAGAAAAAAAAAAAAATGATAAGCTGAACTCAGGAGTTTGTTAATGTCGGAAGATCATTAGATATGGGGTGCTGAGCACGAGAGGTGGGGTGGGTGTTGCGCTTGGTCAAAGCAGGGGAAGTGGGGAGTGGACACTCGATGACGGAGGACTTGGAAATAATTGACTGATGTAAAGACGGACTTATGCCAGGTTAGGGGGCGTTGTTAAGAAAGGTGAGGAGTCACAACAGCGCCCAAGGCCTCACGTGAAGTTCACGCTGAAGAAGGGAGGGTTGACTCCACCTGACAGGACGGGACTGAACCATGACTTTGCTTTGTTTGCACTGTTCTTTCTGTTCTTTATCTCCTCTATGACTATCTTCTCTTTACTACACTATCTGGCATGAATACTTTTTTTGTTTATGTAGTCGACAGAGAGGCAGGCACAAATGACCCACCCCGACGACGAGCTAGCTTGGGATGCAAGCATGCCTGCATGCCGCCTCGCCTGATGCAAATAGGCTACTACATAACAATACATATATCAAAAAACAACAAAGATTTAAGTAAATTTATTGAAACAATTAATTGCCTGTCGCGGTCGTGTGTGCAAAAACAAAATACATACATAAATTGATAGTGCAGTGCAGTGGCTGAAAATAAACAAAAGCTTAAAATTTTAAAGTGTAAAAGAATTTTAAAACTATTGAATACTTACCTTGATAATTAAATTTAAAATTTTGGTTAAAAATAGGTACTTACCTTTATTAAAAACACTTACATCAACCTAAAAAATTCAAATACAAATTGGTTAAAACTCTAAAAACAAATCAAAAATTCAAGGGTTTTAAAATTCAATACTTACCTTCGNAAAGCTTAAAATTTTAAAGTACCTGTTTTAAAAAATTGTTGAAACAAACCAAATAAAAAAGATTATAGATTGATCTAAAAGTTTAAAAATAATACAATAAATAAAACAGTGTTTAAAACTAAAATTAAAAAATACATAAAAGAGAGTTATTAAGTTTTTTAATAATAGTGCAAATAGCAAAATTTACCTGCGCTCCTAGCTACACACCAAGCGTTCGTATATACAGTGGCGCACAAAACTATAGCAGTGTGAAACCTGAAAATAAAAAATTAAATTATTTGAATAAAGAGGTACTTACCCAAAATACTTAAAAAAAAAAATAAATAAAAAATTTAGAGAGGTTAACTTACCCACAAGTGCGTTACTCAATATATTTTTAAAACAA